TGCTCTTGTCCGAGCCAGGCCGGGGATATCATTTTGCGACTTAGCCTTTCCGCCCCCCGCTGGTAGTGCGTGTGCTCTGTGTATGGATACATGACTTTTTAGCCTACATAGGTTATGATGTCTTACATAGTAGACTGGCTGTTCCAATTTTGGGACCGTGTCAGTATAATTTACTTCCTTCCTTCCTTCCTTCCCAAATGCTCAAGGCTTAAGCCCGATCCCCGACACGGTGCGCTTCCTTCTTTTCTTCCTGATTCCTTTCTGCTCATAAGATTCGATTTGGGACGGAGCAAATGCAGATGAATATCATCATACCGATGTCGCGGAGAATCCGAGGGAGAAAAAAACATTACATAAAGATTAAAGATATTATGGTTGGTCGACTTGAAACTCGAAGTACATCACATTCTCTCAAATCTCTCGCTACTCTTATCTCCATGGCCACCCAGCCCACCAGGTCACCTATCGTTTCTCTGAATTCTGTGGTTGACGAGTCTGAGCTCAGTGCAATTGCTCGGAAATTTAAATTCTCATTCCTCATTCACTCCCTCCTCCGTTCGTGTTCGTCCTCTCCATTTCGATATTCGCTCGCTAATTCATTTGATGATATCCGGTTCATGCCCATATCCGATTCATGCTGATAACAAGATTCATCTTTGATACAAGAAACTCCTTCAATTCCAGAACCTCAAGTTTCAAACACGGCGATGTACACCGAGTCGCCGCCCGTTGCTCCGCGCGCTGACAGCTCCCCAGATACATATTACTGGGCCTCGTTCCGGCAGCGCTTCGGCACGGTGATCGTGAACACCTGCAGTAAACCCGGCGGGTCGACGCGGTGGAGATCCGGTGAGTAGTTTCTGCACATATCTCTTACTTGGTCTTTTAAATTATGTTGTTCTTTATTTTGAATCACACAGCTGTTCAAGCTGATCCCTGACTGTACCACTGGCTGAAACTTCCTCAGTGCGAAGTTCGAACGGACACATGTATTTGCTGGACGCGTTAATTCTCCTTGAGGAGTTAATTTTGCTTGAGGATACGGCGTGTTGAAATGATAAGCGAGGAGGGCGAGATTATATGGAGAGGAGGTAGGATTGCAATAGCACTATTGGTGAAGAGACCTGCTTTAAAGCAATCAGATGCTCAAGCAGTAAAATACTACAGGCTTCAAACAGGCTTATATACTACTGGGAAATGTAACTAGAATATTCTACGTGTACAAGGCAAGCCTGCGCTTCGCTCCGGCAGTGAGTTACATAAAGATGAAAACAATGATATTATATTCATACATTCGTGTTACATGAGTAAATGTTGGAAGAAAGAGTAGTTTAGAGATACTTGACTTGACACAAATCATTTGAAATGGAAGTCTGTATGTACCTCGAGTGTGAATCCAAAGATCAGATTGCGAACGGCCGCGCTCCAGAGCATGAATGGGAAGGACGGAGGGAAATAAGCAATAATCTGCATATGTTTGATGCCCAGCAAATGGCTCACAATCTGGGAATTTTGAAAGCCGCTACGTCCGTCGAGAATGACCACCGTACAGATGATTGACCGGAGAGGTATCCAGACGGCAATAGGTATTGATGCAAGTTGGGCCAACGGTTTTACGGTTTTTAAATTTCAATCAAGCGCAGCAGAACCAGAAACGGAAACCAGCAGCTGCCAACGGCCTTGTTTTCCGCAGCAGATGGAGCATTTGGCGCGGTTGTATGGCTGTAATACTGTAAAAATATTACTTGTGTTTGAAAAAGTGCACACCCCTCATTTGTTGAAAGAAAAGTAGCAACCTTGATGGCTTTAATCAAAAAAGTACCAACCAATGATTGAATAGAAGAAAAGTTGCACCGCTGGAGGTCTAAGCCTGATACTCTATCCAAATCATGCAAATGGGTCAGACATCCCCAGGTGGGTATCCAATCTCATCAGTTTGCCCTCGAGGCCAAAGGATCAACAGGTTTGAGCTTAGACTACTTAGTTCCCCTGTTATTCACTTCCCACAGTCTATGTGTTTCAGAGTCAACAGGAACAACCCGAACAAAGTTTAGCGGATAGAAATGGAACTGTGGACCTAGGGCACGGTGAGACTGCATCAACAGGGATGGCCAATCCTGTTTCACAGATCCATCACTATTTGAAGGAATGGGATATCCGGCCAGTGGAAGGGAAGATATAAAATCCAGGGTGCAGAGGAGAAGCGTTTTGCATGTGTGCCAGAATCCATATCGGGATTCCGATTATGGTGTAGCGATGAACAATCCAGCCTAACAGGGTTAAAGGGTCTCATGATCCCAGGGCTACCAGTCACCCGGTCAACTTTTTTCTTTCGAAATGTAAACCTGCTCATTTTTTTCGCTATACAGTTTGAGCCAGAGACTTTTTGATGTTAAAAACAGGTTGTTACAAAGTGGAATTATTTTACACTATTACAGCCATACGGTTGGAGTTGCGGAATCCAGATTTAATGAACAGCATTGGGTACAGCAGCTAAATGAAGGGGAGGGGAAAGATGAGTTAGTACTGCGTCGCTGCTGCATTTAAGCGCAACAGAAGCGCCGAAAGCCGCAGTTCAATAGCTGTTGTCTATTGCACCCCGCTGCGGCGCAGTTGATGAGAAGACCACGAGGCACGCTACTCTGCCTATACTATCCAAGCTGGTCGCAATAGCTGTTGAAGCAAATCCTAAAGCAGTCAAAAAATGACACGTAGCAAACACGTAGCGGAAAAATGTATCGTAAGAGACACGTCAAAGACACCCAAGAGACACGTATCGCGCAATTTAGCCAGGACAGGAAAAGGAAGCTCCTGCGCACTGAATGGGGGAAAGAACAGTCCGCAGCGGGAGCTGGATCTGTACAGTGTGGACGAAGGTTGCAGGAAGAGAGAGAATCGAATGGAGGTAGATCTGATGCAGTGCACCACAAATAAGCGTCAACGAACGAGCCTGTAAAGATTAAGAGAACGAATAATCTACTTCAACGTTCGGGGTTACTAATCCAATCGGCCATCAGCCCGAAGGCCGAGCTGTCAATATCACGATTCACAACACGGCGAACCAGTCTAACTGGCCTTCGATTTTGCCGACAAGTGTACAGATGCGTGTATCACTGCGTTCCGGGCCCCCGTAGTCACATGTTAACCACGTGTACCTACGGCATTCTACGTATGCCGACATGCCTCTACGGGATGTGTCTACGGCACATCGGAGCGTTTTGCTCCGAGGTTCGTCTTCGGCATTCTACGTCACGTAGTCACATCAATTCCACATTAGGCTACGCTTGCCGATGTGTGTCTACATGCCGTAGAATAACCTCGCGGCGGCGCTCATTCCGTTTTTCGTTTTTCGTCTCAAGCCTCGCCTGTATGAAAAAATTGGGCAATTCAGAGTGACATGCATCTACGCCAATGGCTACCTAGGTCTACATGGGTCTACCCGATGTAGACCCATGTAGACGTAGGTAGGCCAGTATAGAAGAACCTGTAGTCATATACATGTGAGTACATCTTTGTGTACGGACGTAGCCTACCCCTTTGTCTACAAGGGGCCGGAACGCAGTGTATGTATGGCGGGAGCATTGAGAACCGCGGAGCCCCTCCAGATAGTAATCAGTATCGGTGCTGACGAGTCACTGGATGTTTTGCTTTACGACGACGTCGCTCATTTATTTGAGCCAGTCTGTCAAATGGCGGCATCTAAGTATCAATTCCCCATCTGTACCTTCCAACCCACCCTTGATCTTCTAGTCCTTCGCATTGTTCAAGTACGCACAACGGGCTACAAACTCGGTACGGTAGGGAAATATTACATCCGTGCAAGAACGTCCACGAAATCAATATGCCGGTTTCCCTAGACTGCCTCGACAATTATTTTGGGCTGTAATTCACGAGGCGCGGCTATCGGTGGATCTGGCCCAGAAAATACAGTCTGCTTATGACCTGTTGTACTTAACTTCGCTTTTTTGATCCAACCGTCGATCTTAGTATGCAACAACCTTCAAGATTTTTTTCAAATCCATTTTCAAAACCCTGAGGGCAGATCACATAACTACTTGCTTGAAAAATATTCACTGCCTTTGGAGAAGTCCCTGGATAATGGCATTATTGAAGTGGGATATAGAGACCCGGTGGTGAAATATATCACGTCCGCTGCGTTCGGAGCGGAAGTTCCCCTTTCAACTTTGTTCCGGGTCCTTAGAGATTTGAAAGCTTCACCTTTTGATTGTGAATCCGAATTGCCGATCTCTTAGCATGCAATGAGACCCATTTTTTCTTTTTTCCATCTATTGGAAGCCCTCAGCGCACACGTAGTACATACTTGGTGGGAACGTAGGCACTGCTGGCGCCACCAATGACAAACCTTGATGTTCTCAAATCCTACAGCCACTCCCAGCAATGCAGATGTAAATGTGTATGCCAGATTGAAAATACAGACCCAATGGTGAAATGAATCACCTCCGCCTCGAATATAAGGCCATCTGTTTGGATTCTGGCGGAAGTCACTCGTTCAACTCGGGTCCCGGTCCTGCATCTGTCTCTGTGGGGTTTTTTCTTTTTCTTCTCCTTTAACGGTATTGTTCGGTTTTGAGTACCAGTCTCATCGCTTCATTTTGAGCGCCGATATATTGTACTCCTCCTCCGATGCAATACCCGGTTCGACCCAGGAAATATTCCGCCTGCGGTAGACTTCCCTCGAGTCCCTCGACGATCATTTGGCTCCATTTCTCTGAATCCGGCTATCTATGAATAGAACAGTTGGACGTGTCTGTTCTAGCGGCAGTCGCCCGTTAAAGTCGGGTCGGGGTCCTGGAATCGTGGTAGCAAAAATTTGCAACTTTGAATCGTAACTTAAACTTGGATTTGGACTCACTCATCCCCCCAACCCACGAAACAGAATCTACTTCGCGACCGAAACTCACAGCGGCCGATGGTTTGAGAAGTAAGTAAACTCCTCAAGAAGCCTTCAGGATAAAGAAGCCAATGGGACTGTGCATAGCGACCCGGTGGTGAATTGAATCACGTGCGCTTTGGATGCTGCCTTCCACATCGTGGCGCCAGCGGAAGGTGCCCGTTCAAGTCGGGTCCGGGTCCTACTTTCTTGTCACTGCCACTTTTTTTGGCTCGGAATTGTCGATCTCTTAGCATGCCTTGAGACTGAATTATTTTCTCGGATGCATTGGAAAGGCTGAACGCAGGCAGTAAGTATCTGGTAAAAAAATATTCACTGCTTCTAGAGAAATAAAACCTCACGAAGCATCCTGGAGTTCATGGCATAGAGACCTTGTGGTGCGCTGCATCATAGCCGATTCGAATGCATGAAGCTTGTCTGAAGTCTCAGTGAAAGATCATGATTTCCGCTGAAGTCGGGTTCGGGTCATTTGCTATGCTGCTTGCTATGCTGCTGCTTCACTTTTGCCTTACTTCTTGTGCTTAGATCTGTTCTGGGGCAAGGGAAACAACAGCATTACTGTATTTTTCAATCAGATCGACACGGGGTGTGACGCGTGACCTACTGGGACCATTTCGACAATTCGATACCACCGAAATTTTGGCGTGACCACTGGAAAATTTTCGAAAATTTCAATGCGAAAATTCGTTTTTGGTGGTTTTGGGGGGATTTTGCCCTGCGTGATGCGAATTTTAGGTTCGATAAAGGCCTGAGTGACGCGTGACATCGACCAAAATTCGATATCGATACGGTGGTGCGTGACGCGTGACTATCGATCTGAATGAAAAAATACAGTATATTGTGGGGATGGAGGGCTGGTACTAGCCAGCTCCAGGTCATAGAGACGATGGGGATGCCGAAGCTGAACCCCCAGCGGATCTACTATGCTGTTGTTTATAAATACGAGTCAGTACGGTTAACGAATAAAAAGGAAACTCAAAAAATAACGGTGCGGGTGGGTGGGTGAAAGTTTGTTGGATGTTCGAATTTTGTAGCAGTGAGTGTCGATAGTCGGAGTGCAGGTGGACGTCGAGAGGAGAAGGCACACCGCCACCTGCCACTCCTCTGTCACAAGACAACGTATCGGCATCGGCATGCCCTGCCGATACTCCCATATTTCTTTTTCCGAATCAGTACACACTCAATTCTTTTTTCAACATCGGTCAACTTGGATGTCTCTACGTCCCCTTGGGCTCCACGCAAAAACTGCTGGACACGTTCGAACTTGGTTGAATCAATGCCAGTCTTTTGATCCGTGTTTTTGATCAGTGAGTGATGTGATCACCGCCCTCTTCTTCTTTCCTTTCTACTTCGATGTCGCCTCTGCGCCCCGCCTTGCCATGCTGTAGTGCGCACAGTCCAACGACGGATCGACTAATACACGAAAGGATTCAATGCCCAGGACCATCGTCCCGCTCGTGTTTCCGGAATCCGTTTACTGGATCTTGCCCCACACCCCGTCGCGTAGCCGGTCCCGATCCGTGTCCTTGTTCATGTCCGTGTCTGCACACGTTCTGCTTTTGCTTTAACTTTCCCCTTCACTTTCGCTCTTCGCCACTCCTGACTCACCCGCCCACTTCAAGCTTGCTTGCTTATATTCGCCGCCGCTCTTCGCCGCGCTGCAGATGCAAAGACACCAGGCTCTGAGTCCTGGGCCCATGCAAGCCGAGGCTGAGGCTGACGCACCTACGATTCCGATTGCGTCCATCATGTGCGACGCACGACCCCCGATTCCCGAATTAGGGATTCGAACAAATTCGAATGGATGTCGTGCAGAAGGGCAAAGCATAGATATTTTCCCGGTATTGAACTCTCCAAGTACGTCGAATTCTCCCACATCTTTGCTCTCACCACGCGGTTCCTGGCATCTTGCTCACCTGTCTTACCACAGATCATCTTCAAGTCCTGAATCCCAACTTGCTCACGTCACGTCCGACGGTGTGGTTGCAAGTTGCTCCAATCGTCTTTCATTCCCTCTTCCCTCCTTCGCCTTCGCGTTTCATCTTTCGTTGCTATCCCTCCTCCGCTTTTCTTTCATTCCCTCTCGCATTTGCTTTTGCGTTCGCGCTTGCACTCGGGCTCGATTCAGTACTCGATTTCCCTCACGATTCCGCTCCCCCTCGCGATAAATCTTGATTCATTTGTCCCCACTCAAGATCCTCAGGTCCTCCCCGACGATCAGACGGGGACTCTGCTCTGCCAAGTCTGTTTTCGAGTCTTGTGCATCCTCGCTTCCACCCGCTTACATCTCGACATTGGCGCGCGCACAGTACAGGTAGCATTATGATTTCTTCTTCCTTGAACTGTGCTGATTCCCCTCAGGCCCCTATCAATACTGCCCTACAGGAGCGTTAATTCAATATGAAGACACATATTCTGAAGTTCAGATAAAGGGCCGGCGGTGAAACCGAGCATGTGGAATACCTGAAGTTGCCGGTTCAACCGGTCAAGTCGCTCGTTCAAGTCGGGCCCGGCCCGTGGGAATGCATGTTCGAGGTTTCGTTCTTCTTTGTGGCGTGAAAGAATCACTTCGTGACTATCCATTTTTCTATTTCAGCCAGTCTCCAGTCGCTGGCACCCAAGTATCACTTCCGCGCGTCCACGTCCTTTATCCAGCATCCCACTCACTATCTCCTCAAATCCAGAGAAGGCGTCAACTTACGGATGTACACTGGATTCAAATTGAAGACCTGATGGTGAAATGTATCACGCTCGTCCTCTAGAATTCCGGTGGAAGTCACCCGTTCAACTCGGGTTTGGGTCATAATTCGTCCACATCTTTTTATCTCCCTTTGAGAATTCCGCATCCAATCCCTTCAATGAGATTCGTTCGCACCTCCAGCCACTTGTTTGTTTGCACTATTTTCCGGCTCCGGTTCATTGCTGGATCCTTACAACGAGCGTCATGTCATGTTCAGTTCCGCGTCGCGCTGGGAGCCTCTATCAAACTTGGTAGCGGGAACAAGCTATCAAACCTGGTAGCGGGAATATTCTACCCGTTCAAGTCGGGTCTGCGTCTTGGGCTCGTCGTAGATATTTTTGCCGCATTCGTTCAAATCGGGTTCAGTTCATCACGACGCATTGCGGATGTTTTCTTTCTTGCGGCGTCGACGATTGGTTTACTCGCGAGTCCTCCCTCACTCATTGTAGCCAGCCTCAAATAACAGTGGATTATAGGCACCGGCGTATCAATCATGCCTTCCACGTCGCCTCTATAAAACCTCATCATCCGCTAGTCGTAGCATCGAGACAAAATCTGCTTATAGATGTACGTTTGCTTGAAGGTACCGATCCAATGGTGAAACACATCACATCCGCTTTGATAGTAAGGGCGAGCCTGTCGATTCCTGGCGGAAGTCACTCGGGTTTGGGTCATACGGGGAATTTTATCGGCTTTTTTTCGGTCCCCTTTCCGGGTCCTTTCCAATCATTCATCCCTTTTTATTCTGAGCATTCAATCATTTGCATCATCTCTCGGGCCATATTCAGTTACTTCAGTTACTTACTATGAGCCTCATGGTCAATTCGGCGTAGCACAAGGAGCTTAAAATCCAGGATAGTACTGGAGATTCTACCTTATACTAATAGCAATGTTCGAGAGTAAGTATGCAGCCTTCACCGGACTGCCCCGACGATCGTTCTCTTCTGAAATTCGCAAGACGGGGCTCTCGATGTGTATTTGGGTAGAAGTGCAGACCCGGTGGTGAAATGAAACACATCCGGTTTGAATCGTCAGAGCGACGTCCAATGCGGTGGAAGATACCCGTTCAATTCGGGTCCGGGTCACGATCATTCCACTTTGAGTATTTTCCTTTTCTTCTGTGTGCCCTTTCATATGCATCCCATTTTCACAGGATCGGAACCCTCACAAGGGGATCCAACGATAAGAAAAAATGATATCACCTACAAATTTATTTTTTCAGCGGAATCGGGCCTCAACTAACTAACTACCGTGGGAATCTCGCTTATATAAGCCTCAATTTCGCCAAGAGCGGATTTTTTTCTAGCCAGAGGCTGTCAGAGTGCATGTCGGCATCTATTCCGACTGTTAAACTGGAAGTTTGTGCCGTGTTGAAGGAAAAGACTTTCACAAAAGTCCAGACCATTTCGGACATCACATGATAAATTCCTTCTTTTGGACACATCAAATCTCTGATAAGGCCTGATATGGGAATTCAAAAGGCCCTCCGGGCACCCCTGGTACTTGTGCTCCAGACACCCTGCAGACTTCTTGGAACTTTTCTGTGAACACGGAACCTCCAAGTTGAGGTTTTCGCACGGTCCAATAATGTAAGGGAGAGGCAGACACGGGCAACGGGGCCCAGACATGTGAACACTGTGTTGATGGAATCAATCAAAACATCCCATAAACAGTAGTGGTGTGATGGGAAGAGGGAGAAAGCAGGATGGGCGGACCCGGGCAACGGGGCCCAGGCTCTCCCATCGTCCATTGATGTAATCGATCAATAACATCCGGAAATGGTAATGGTATGATGGGGACGGCGGGAAAGCAGGATGGAAGGACCTGGGCACTGGAGTCCAGGCTTTTTGATAGGCCTTTGATGGGGTCGATCAATGGTACCTATAAATGGTAATGGTGTGATGGGGAGAGGAAGAAAGCAGGATGGACCGCCCAGGCTGAAAGTGCCTTGATGGAATCAATCAAAAGTACCCATAAACGGTAATGGCATGATGGGTTGTCCGCATTTGAAATCTCCAGACCTGGTACTGTATACTAGTACCAGGAATAATCTTTCATGTTGCAACTTCACGACGGCTTCACCAAAAACCACGGGACAAGCATATTCGTGTTCAGTGGCACAAATTACATCAAGTTAGGACGGGTTTCGAAATACAGCAGAAGTGGACCCCCTTGAACCCTCATCGCAATTTTTGAAGGCTCCATCCATCCGGAACACATATACAACTGCGTCCCAATAGTTGTCGAGAAGCCAATATTATGCACACACTCCCATCCTATCAAGCGCAGAGATTCCTTCTGCGCTTCATCTTGATCCAACATCCCTGAGGCTACCTCGTCTCACTCTCCGAGTCTTTGAACAAGTCTCAGAGTTTCCTGAATTTAAACCGGTTTCAGCCCATTCCCAACGCCCGCCGACGCCTAGGGGTTCCGCGGTGCCAT